TGCGGCGAGTGAGCAGTCGCACTGGCCGGTGTGCCACTTCTGCGGCAAGCGCATCCCCGATAAGGAGTACAATGCGCACACCGTCATGTGCAACGAGCGGGAGGTCACCTGCTGGAACTCGTGGTGCCGGCATATCGTCAAGCAGGGGGAGCTGCAGAAGCACCTCGAGGAGTGCGCCAAGAGGCAGCGCGCGCTCTGCTACAAGTGCGGCACGGAAGTGCTCGCCGCCGAACTCCAGATGCACCGCGACACGTGCCAGCCGAAAGAGTGCCCGTCGTGCGGGGAGTTGTGCATCACGCGTATCATGAAGTGGTGCCCCCACAACTTCACGCGTATAAGCATCACGAATGGCCCCTTCGCAAAGGAGACGCTGATGAAGCGCTACATCAAGGACAACCATGCAGCTGGCGGCAGCCACAAGGCCACATCGGCCATCACATCCGCCATGTCCCTGGGCCACATTAAATATAACGTGGCGCGGATGCAGCTGCTGTGGCGCTGGATCAAGGCCAAGACCATCGTGGAGGAGACGATCTTTCGCGTGACGTTCAAGGAGATGGACCTCAAGAAGGAGGGCTTTGCGATATTCAAGGCGCTCGACAAGGTGAGTGACTCGCATGTTCTGGCACCAAAGCGGTCGCGCTCGGTCCTGCAGGCCCCTGTAGTGGCCCCCGCCATCTCCTCACACTACTTCCCGACACGCAGTGGCGAGCCTATCACTCTCGATGTGGTGCAGCGGGTTATTAAGGACATACAGGATCACGTGCTGCTGCCGTACCCCGCCGCCTGGCGTGTTTTTACCGATGCGATGAATCACCTCAACGCGATGCCGAACGTCGTGCGGCTCAGCCCACCAATCGGCGCCCGTGTGACGAACGGGCGCGTCAATCAAGGCTCCAAGGTCGTTGTTGTTGGTGACCTGCATGGACAGCTGACGGATCTTCTGCACATCCTCAAGGAGTGCGGTATGCCAAATGATGGCACGTACTACATATTCAACGGCGACTTCGTGGACCGTGGGGCGAATGGGGTGGAGGTGCTGCTGATTCTCTTCTCGCTCATGCTTGCGTGCCCCAAGTACGTCACCCTCAACCGCGGCAACCACGAGTGTGACTACATGAACGATGAGTACGGCTTCGATGTGGAGGTGAGCACCAAATACGACCGCAACGTGTTCCGCCTGATCCAGCGCTGCTTCTGCGCCCTCCCACTGGCGACGATCATCGGCACGAAGGTGTTCGTCGTGCACGGCGGCCTGCCGCGGCGCAAGGGCGTCACGATCGAGGACATCTCCCGCATCCAGCGCTTCCGGCAGATCCCGATGCCGGACTACTCGCAGCCGGAGGAGGACGAGATATTCCAGGACCTGCTGTGGTCGGACCCCGTCGAGGGGCTGCACGGCTGGCGCGAGAGTCAGCGCGGCGCCGGCGTCGAGTTCGGCCCCGACCTCACGCACGAGTTCCTGCGCAACAACGCGCTTGAGGTGGTCATCCGCTCGCACGAGGAATGCCTGAGCGGCTACGAGGAGCACCACGACGGCAAACTCATGACGGTCTTCTCCGCCAGCAACTACGACGGCCCCGACACGAACTACGGCAGCTTCGCCGTGCTCGTCGGCGACAACCCGGATCCATCCTTCCACACGTACCAGGTGGCCGAGGACGACGTCGAGATGCAGGGCCTCGTCGACCTCACCGAGACATTCACGCCGACGCTTTCACGTATCTCGCCCATCGCAGCGCCGCAGCATGGCCGCTCAGCCATGCGGCGGCGGGCGAAAGACGACGTGCTGCGCGTGCTGCGCGAGCGCATCTACCAGCGGCGGCACCGCCTCATGGCCTACTTCGCCAAGCTGGACCGCACACGCAAGGGGTCGGTGTGGAAGATCGAGTGGGTCGAGGCGATGCGGAACGTGCTCAATTCCGACCTGCCGTGGTTCTTCCTCCGCAGCTACCTCGTCGCGGAGGACGACCACTCCCGCATTTGGTACTACGGCTTCCTCGTCAAGTTTCACAACATGCTGCAGCCACTTTGGCTTAACGACTGGGTGCAGAGTGCGCGCTACCGCCTCTCGCAGCAGCAGCGGGCAAACTACCGCTCGCAGTACGTTGCGACTGCCTTCAAAAAGGAGCAGGTCAACTACAATGAGTTCTGCTCTGTCATTCGCGCCATCGACTACACCCCAAGCGAGGTGCAGCTGTTCCAGCTCTTTGTACACTTCGACGAGGGCGGCACGGGCTACATCGACGGCCCCAAGTTCGCGCAGATGCTCTCTGAGGCGGCGTCGCACCCCGTTAGCGACCCGCTGCGCTGGGACCTAGAGGCAATGGAGCAGCTGCAGAGCGTCGTGATACAGGGCCGCAGCCAGCTGCCGTTTCTCTTCCATGTGAGCTCGCGCGATCGCACGCTGTCGCGGGAGCGGTTCATGTCGGGCCTTGAGCAGCTCGGCCGCGGCATGCGCAAGCAGCTGACGCAGCCNCAGAAGGAGAAGATATACGACTGCATAGCCGAACACGCGCCGCCGTCAGGCGTCATGTTTGAACACTTCCTCTTCATGACGGCGGTGTTCGACAACAGCACGATGCCGCAGCGCTCCATCGTGGACCTCAGCGATGTGAACATCGTGGCGTCCTTCCTGAAGAACCTTAGTTTCGCCTCGCAAACCAAAGACTGGGAGGGGCGATAAAAGGGGGAGAAGGGTGGGCGAGAGCGAAGACCCGGTGGAGGGTGGTGAGGCAAGGGAAGGAAGCAGACGACGGAGGGTGAAAGAAGAAGGTTCAATGACAGCAGCAACGAAGGAGGAGGGAGGGAGGCGGGCGGGATTTTAGAAGAAAAGAAAAACAGAAAAAAACACACGGAAGGAAGAGGGTGGGGTGGGGG